TGGCTTCCTATTTTACTTTAGTTAAAAAGTTTGAGTATTTATTAACAGCCACCAAAGAAGGGCCACCTCTCAAGTCATTTCTTCAGTCGTTCTGTTTACAGCTCTGAAATGTTTTCAATATTTGGCAGATATTGCTGAAGTGTCTAGTTTCTAACTGTTAAATCAAAGAGTGCTTGAGGCAACAACATTATTACTTCTAGTTTTGTGTGCAGTAAGTGAGTAAGTTGGGTCATAACTATTTTCGGTGGTGTGCTCTTATTTCTGCACCATCAGCACCATGAAGCAACACCAGAGGAAAAGAACATGGAAAGGGAGAATACATAAACAAGTTTCTCCTGCTGCTATAAAGGAAAACTGTCACCTGGATGAACACATTTTTCAACGTAATATTGTGTAATTTTGTAATTAATCATTATCCTTGGTCTCCGTCCCTCAGAGATAATCAGATGCAGATATCAATGATGTGCATTGAGAGCATCTCATTTGGCGGTTTAGATTTGCTGTCCACTGTCTCCACGGCAAATGTGAACTCATTTCTTATCCTTTGAAAGCCTTTGGGGATTCAAAAGCTAACCTTCCCAGATCTCCTCTGGAGAAACACTGATAACAATCCATACAAATCTCAAAATGGCCATTGGTAACCAGAATTGCTGGAAGACTGAAGTGCAGAGTCTGTCGCCCAATATGATGACGATATGTATCATTTGGGCTGTTCTACAACTGCTACTCTTTGTTAAGGTGTCTTTCAGTGAGACTATTAACACTGAAATGCTCCTTTCTGCTGCTGGATGAGACTGTGTTTGCACTGTGATTCCGTGTAAATGAGCTGGCTGCTGAAAAAAGACCATTCAGCTCAGCACACATGGCCTGGGAAAAATGAAGGTTAGAGAAAGTAATAATTGCAGTTGCTGGGAGGAGTTGGATCCCAGTGGAGACTGGTCAGAGGTGGACCTCTGTTACTATGTAGTGCAGGAATTAGATCTGGATTATAGATGAGAAGATGTGGGGGGGTATTCCCATGTGGGGGCTCCATGTGGGAAGAGGTGCTTCATGAATGCTGACTTTGTCTGTGGGAAGCCTTTCGACCATTCTCTTGCCTTTATAGCTGGGCGTTTAGGATGAAGGACGAATGTAATGAACACACAAGGGGATAGATGACGTGTGGATTAGTGTGTGTATCATGTGTGGGTGGGGGGTTCACCTGTTCGAACCAATTAACTTGCACCCCTGCAGTGGAATTAAAGCAGAATAAAACCGAATCTCAACTTCAGTTCAAAGCTCCTAAAACTAAGAAATATATATAGGAGTACATTTGCAGGTATATAAGAGAATCTAATGCACACAGCTCATTTAGACAGACTTCTCATAATTGAAAAAAAAAATGTTTGGATAAACTAATGAATAGTCAAAGCATGATAGGAGCTGCTCCATATAATAGATAATGCCAATCACGACAGACAGAAAAGCAAACAGTGGGCATCATTTACAGATAGAAAGCCACTACACAGTACGCTGCTAACATTAGATGTTTGTGTTCTTTTGTCCTGTTAGTGTTTACTTCCTGTCTGTCTTCTGCTCATTTCTGTGGGCCAGCTTTCTGTGTCTCCTAAACTCTTTCCTTCTCTTGCGCGGTTTTCTTCTTCTTCTATTTTTCATTTCTTTCCTGGGGACAGTTTGGCAATTTTTCTCTACATTTCTGATGGAGGATAACAAATGTGTTTTTCGCCCACAACTAACATTAAATTGAACAGACTTCTTTCTTGATCGATATGACTGCACATGCGACAGTTAGCGGCGGTCTGATATTGCAAAAGAACACAGTTGAATTTGTCTGAGTTTACCAATCATACTCAAGTATTCAACTAAGCCATGTCCTAAAATAACTTAAACTAGTTTATCCCCCCTATTCCTCCTTTTGATGCGTCTTGTCAGGAATCCTGCTGTCAAGTAATCCCCCAAAACCGTTTCTTATTTTAAAGACAAATGGCAAGTTAGGAACCCTCTAGTCCAGGGGTCGGCAACCTTTTTGATATGAAGTGCCATTACAAAAAAAAAATGTTATCAGCGTGCGACGATCGTGAATTATCAACGGGGGGGGGGGGGAGCTCGACGCTCGTGAACTGTAAGCGCAACAAATTTAAATAATTGGTTTAAACGGCATAATAATAAGGACGATCGTCCGTTCTGTGATTCTCCAGAACACAGATGTTATGATATTAGGGTCATGCAGAGCGAGATGAGATCGCTGTCCCTTTAAGAGAGAGAGAGAGGGGTGTGGCGTGTGCATGTGTGTGTGGATGGTAGAGCGAGTGTGAGCGAGCGTGTGTATGTTTCTGGAAGTGAAACGAGGCAGCAGAAAAACAGAGGTCTGTGATGTATTTTGTGAAACAGAAGAACAACTAAATAAATGCAACGGCCTCCCAAGAAGAGCTCGCCTCTCTCCAGTCATTTAAGCTAAAGTGGGTTATTGAACCTGAAGCTTGTTGCTTCTGCCCTGGGAGCCGACAGAGAGTCATCCCCCCTGTTTCCTCGACTACGGTCTGGGAGCCGACAGGAAAGTTCAACACACAGATGGCCAGTCCGCCCCTGTGTAGCATATTATTTCGAGGAGCAGATTGCCACTGGGCTTTCAACTAAAGACACAGCCACGCAAAAACTGCAGCATTTGTACAGCTCCTTATGGGTACTGCAATTTGTGAAGTGCTTTCCTCTGTGGTGAAACGATCAGCACTGCACCACGGAGGAAAGTGGCAGAAAGTCGCCAGGACTTAAAGAGAGCGGGGCTGCGTTGCGTGCATGGCTTCCTTCTGCAGGTAACGGGGAGATGCGCTCTGGCGGCGGTCTCGTTCAGGATCCGAAAATCAAATGTAAATATGTTGCACACTTATTCCACTAATTCCTAGTGTGCCACTGGTTACGGTGCCGCATGCCAATGGTGGCACGCGTGCCAGGGGTTGCCGACCCCTGCTCTAGTCTCTATAACCGAGACAATTACTCTTGGAAGCACCCCCAAAAGTGTAATATAGTACAATCTAAGTGAATTACATGGATTTGGTTGGATTTGGTTCTAAAACATACAAGCAAGAAGAGAGGGCTGGCTCTACCATAGCTGTCACTACTACAACTACATCTGCCACTGCTATTATTACTGGGATCATACCTGGATATGATACACTCAATAATGAACACAGACTGAGGCGAGTTTGTCACTATGACAACTGCTCAAACTGCCACCAGGTGCCCCTTCCAATACTATTAATCTCAGTCCACCATTCGAGTGAGTTATGAAAGTTATCTCTTTTATATGGACTCTTATTCTGGCTATATACAGTACATTCTGGTGTTAGCAGTGTTGTTAAAATAACTGTAGTTGTCATTCCAGTCCCTGTCTTTTTATTTTTGTCGGTGGACTAGTGAGACTAACTGTTTATCCAGGACCATAATGACCCTTCTGCAACAAAGCTAAATTAACAGGTTTGATCTTAACTTGCAAAAGTACCCTGAAGTTCTTAAATAACTCTCAAAATAGCTTATTGGCTCTAAGAGTCAAAATGATATTTAATAGAATATATTGTGGCTCTTTCATTTCAGATTGAACAAATATTCAATAAGATACAGGATGTGAAGACAATGAGTTTCAGTGTCGATATCAGGTTGTTTGTTCAGCCTGTTCCCTTGATTTTTAGATTGGTGAAGTGTCAAAGAGAAGAACAAGAAGAAATAGAAGGAAGAAATGCTGATGTTCTTTCTTTTCAAATATTTAAGTGTTTCTAGGGCTGTTGAAAGTGAAATGTTTCCAGTAAAATGTTATTCTACAGTTAAACTGTATGTTGGAGAAAAGCCAGTCCCATGTTGTCATAACTAGACTTAATTGATTGCATATGATGTGTGAATGTGAATATATGTGAATATTTGTTCAGATAAGATGTATGAAGATTTTTCTTAAAGATTATTATTTTCTGTAAAAACTGGCCTGTTTACTTTCAGAAAACTAATTAATGAGGAGCAAATGTGCTGGTATACTTCAGAAACGCATCAAATCATGTAAAACCATATACACTGACGGATAAATAAAGATTATTAATGAGAAAAAATCCCCGACCAAAACCCCTCGGCTTCATGTCGACTCACCATGAAGAGATTTGATGGTTGTTTATTACACAGCCACTAAAATAATCCATTGACATGCAATATAGATACAAATATAATTTTATCGATTTGAAATTATAGCCTTGGTTCCACTTAGAAAAAAATAGTCTGTTATACCGGTACCAACTGTTTTCCATGAACAAGTCTTTATACATTACCAGACCGTGTTTACTTAGGTGTTTCTACCTGTCTGTCTTCTTCCAGGGTCTCTCTGTCTCCCGCTTTCTGTGTCTTTTAACCTCTTTCCTTCTCTTGTGCTTTTTCCTTGTTGGCATAATACTATTCATGGTAAATATTTATGGTTGATGAGACAGTTGCATATTCTTTGAAATTAATTTAAAAACATTTGATAATATCGAGTTATAATTACACAGTTTTTGTATAATTTTGTATATTTCTCGACTGTGCAAGGTTTATGACTGTTTACCAGCTAGTTTCCTTCCATAAAGCACACTATAGTGCGCAGGTCCAAGAGTTTGAATTGACTGTCAGTCAGACAAAGTTTTTGACTGGACGCGTCCGCACGCCTGATGGCATTTGTACTTGTGTTTATTTATTATATGCAGTTTAAAGTGTTTTAAGTCGCTAGTGGACGGCCAAGGGATCTAGGGAATTCACATGAATAAAACTCTCAAGACGTACCTCAAGACGTACCCGTGAGTACATGGTATTCATTAAAGTTATTTCAACGCTCTGTAAGAGTCATAGCTCCAAATCGCCTCGTAGGCTAAGTGTCCTTGGAACTTTGTATTTTTGATAATCGGCCACTACAATAATGATAAATAAGACATTAGCCGAGTAAAGAAAGACAGAACACATGCAAATATAAATCAAATACTGATGAACCCTACCTTGACCTCAATGAAGTCCGGCTGTCCCAAAGAAATAAGCTCAGAGTACGCCTGCATCTCCTCCACATTCCAGGCCTTCACCAGCGTCAGCCTGTACACCGTCCTCTGTCTCTGGAGGGAGGAACAGCGTTTAGGATTAATGGAAATGTTCGAGGATAAACATGAGATTGTTGTACTAATAGTTTGTTGCATATTAAATGTATTATGGGTCTACCTTCCTTTACTTCAGGGGTGGGGAACCTCCGGCCTCCGGGCCGTATACAGACCGCGAGACCTTTTGGTACGGCCCTCGAGGTAATTTATAAACACACGCAAAAAAGAAAAAAATTAAAGAAATCTAGACCGCAAAAATAGTGCCTGTTTTTCCTGGCCAAGGTCAGGGTCCTTGAACACAACACGAGCCTAACGTGTCATCACGTGGTATATGTCTCGTCTGACAGGGGTGTAGTTCTGACGGAGAGCACCAGAACGCCGCTCCGGCACTTCACAAATGTCAGTACCCATAAGGAGCCGTACACATGCCGCAGTTTCTGCGTGGCTGTGTCTTTAGTTGAAAGCCCAGTGGAGATCTGTTCATCTGTCATACTGATCAGACAGTCAATACCTTTGTTGTTATTAGCATCTGGTTAGCTAGCTATGCTAACGAATATAAGAAGCTTTTTCTACAACCAGTGAGGTAAAGGCACATCTTTATATGATCATTATAGTTATAAAAAAACAAGAGAATAAAGTAAACGGGTATAAAATACTATATGACAGTAAAAAAAAGTTGTTATTAATAAACAAGAATACAGTTTGAAAGGAGTGATTTGTAAAATATCCATAAAGAAAATGAAAATCTGTTTACAGTTCTGTTTCATATGGGTGTTGAGAGATGTATCCATAGATCTCCTAATGTTGCTCTCAAAGTGCACCAGATTGATGCTTTTAACTTCAACATTTAAAAACAAATCTTCCCGGGTGGAGCATGCCCCCGGACCCCCCTAGAGGAGGTTAGGTCCCCCCCCCCCACTTAAATCATGTTCACATGGATAGGAAACTAAATACATTTGCACACATCTTGTGTCCATATCTTTCTGTTTTGGTGGTCATGCCAAAACCGTGCACACATGCATACGCGAGTCATGGTAAGATATCTGGATTCAGAGGTTGCTTTTTCTTTGCGCAGCATGAAAGAAAGGCGAAATGAATGGGCTGTGATTTTAGTATTTTTAAGCAGAGGTCAATCATTTGTACGGCCCTCGGAGGATGTTGAAAACATTGAAATGGCCCTTGAGAGGAAAAAGGTTCCCCACCCCTGCTTTACTTATACCACATTTAGCAAATACATTTTATTTATGCATTGAACAAATGTTCACATATCATGAACAAAAAAAAACCCTAATGCAAGATGTGTCCAACAGCCTGGTATTCCTCGACAGACTGAGCCAAAAACACATTTGTGCAACATGTTCATATGAAAATCTGAATGTCTACTTTAGTAAAAAACTACACTGTTTTAAACAACAGTTAGATTGTGCTGTGATAAGGTAACTGTTTGTTTGCTGGGTGAGTTGGTCCCATCATTATTTCAAGTGTAACAGTTCAACAAACGAAGCAAAGAAATTATTTCACACTTGATTGAAGGTCATACTGTAGTTGTGTTTGGACATTAAAAAGGTTAGGGCATGAAATTGAAACGTTCCAAACACTAGTTCCGACAAATCAGGGGGGGAAAAGCATGCAATTAATTATTTGTTGTCTCAATGTTACAATGGCAGTTTGTCACCAACATTGGTCCACTACAGACAAAAGCAGCTCACAGGTGTCCTGATAACCACCAACTTACTGTCTGAATTATAACTGAGCAGTTGGGCCTGTTTTGGATTGTTACTAATGCAACTACTGCATTCCAACAGTTCTACAGTTCTGTCGCGGACTGAAGACCTGCCTGTTTCCACTGCACCTTGGCCAAAAATTCAAACAACACAGATAGCACTTAGAAAGGTTAAGTTATGGTACGTACAGGATTCTTGCTTTTTTTAGTTTGTATCTTCATGGTTAATTGCACTTGTAATCACTTTGGATAAAAGCGTCAGCTAAATGATATGTACCGGTAAAGAGGGAGGAGGGAGGGCACCATATATTGCACAAAATGCCAGCACCTTCAAGTACGGGTGTTGCAGGTTAACATTTCCTTAATGTGCAGTTTTTATAATTCCAAATGGCATTTGATCATTAAGTTATAGTTTATTCTGAAGTTGTTTTTTTATTATTTGTATTATATAGTAGTATATAATAATATTATTATTCAACTTTTAATTTCTGAATTTTCTCAAAGCATTTTTAATGATTAGAAAACGTAAACAATCAAATAAATATAGGATTACACCGACTGGAGTATGTATTAACAGATATTTTATATATGTATTAAGGTCAAGGTCAAGGGGACCTGAGATATCTCTTTTATTAGTACTCAGTTAACTCTCCCTGGGTAAAAACATGGATGAAAAAGCCCCGCTAGCAGTTCAATGGTGTAGATTCAGGCTATTGTTGTTGCTGTATAGCAGGAGTAAGAGGATTATTGAGAATGTGATGGAGAGGAAGAAAGACACAGGGGGTTGAAAAAGGGGATAGTGAGGACAGAGGACTTGAGAAATACAAAGAAACAAGTAATTGACAAAGGGAGAGTAGAGAGCACTCTTTCTCTCTCGCTCAGCGGAAGGTTATCTATAACACTCGGCCCTTTCAGCCCAGTAGGGAAGGGGATAATTGGCCAAAGGAAGTGGGAGGTGAGGTATTTCAAGCTGCCCCTGTTCCAAATACGACACTGAGGCACAACTCTATCAATCCCCGGTGCACTGTCAGGGAGGCCAGGTGAAGGGGAACAGAGAGGGATAAGCACTAAGGAGGGATGGAGATAGAGCCAACCATGAAAGAGGGACTCAGAATTATATGGAGCCGAGACAAAGAGACGGGGAGGGGTTATTGGAACATAAAGAGAGGGTTTATTTTTAAAAACTGGGCACACAGGCAAATCATATTGTCACACTGACATTTACATGAGCAAACACAAGAACGCTCTGGAGCAAATTGAGTCATATTTATAAAAACATGTATTTTTTAATGTTGAGGTTTTAAATATAAATATACAACTTTTAGTCATAAAACATTATTTACTCATGCCTTTTTCGATAGATGCAGTGTTGAAAGGAGGAGACGGTGAAGAGGACATTTCCTAACAGTTCCGTGAGCCAGAAACAAACCGGCATACTGGGCATCAGATACAGCATATGGGCCTACTCATGGCTTTGTTAAAGGGGCCCTATTATGTTCATTTTCAGGTTCATGTTAGTATGTGTCTCTACTGTGACATGTATGTGCTTAAATGTTCAAGAAGCTCTTTATTTTTCTCATACTGCCTGTGCTGCAGCACCTCTTTTCACCCTCGGTCTGAAACCAGAGCCCAGTCTGCTCTGATTGGTTAGCTGGCCGGCTGTGTTGTGATTGGCCAACCATTTCGAGATTTCCCGCCACTTAGCCCTTAACGCACAATTTGTTAGAGCGCTATCCAATAGAAGCGCGAGTGTTACATAGTGATGTCACTATGTTAAGGAAGCAAACAAAAGAGTCCAATGGAGGTCTTTCAAGCAGCGGGGGGGGGGGGGGAGAAAAAAATAAAGTTTGAGATTTTAGTGCTCTGCATTTAATTTCGTCCATGCTTCAATATGCCACGGGTCAAACCATGTCCTACCATGGATATGACCTTAACTCTAAAATTACCTTCACTGCTTCCAACCTAACCTTCTCTCCATTCAATAATCATACCCTACTATGCAAATCCATTGCGACTGTGCACTTCACTGAAACACATCATTAATAAGATTAAAATAGTTGTTCACAGATCTAAACTCCTATTCAAATGATCACTCTTCAAACAGAAGGATCATACTTCAATATCACATGTCAATTCCATAAAGAAAGAAGCTGCGTAACGCTTCCATAAAGGAGATGACTGAGATCTGTCCATGTGATTGATGTCGCTGACAGAGTTTGTACATTTGGTGTCTAACAAATGGTATACACATAAGAATGCTGAGCCAGGAAAGCTTGGTAAGACATTTGTTAGACACCAATTATAAAAGGTATTCTTTAGATTGATGGCTCCTTTACCTGTCAGACTTGGATGCAGTATTGGAAATAATGAGATACCAGTGAAGTGGAATGAATTTGCAAGAGGGCTCAAGTGTCAGCCCCAGGTCCAGCAGGCCCTCGCTGTCACCCATCTGCCCTACACTGGATTCCTCTTTAGTCACTTAGAGCATGAGTCAAACTCAAGGGCCGAGGGCCAAAACAATGACCTGCAAGAGCTTGCAAAGAATACAGTTTGCTTATCATACAATTCAATACTGCTTTACAGAAGTACATGTCCAAAAATGCAACTCGATTTTATTACATGCATACTCAAACGTCTCAATAAAGGGTCGTAAAAAAATATGAATAATACAAAAATGTCAGAGTCGAGAAAAGACAAGCCGGTTCGTCACCTTTGCTACAAAGCGGTGGCAGTGCCAAAGGAATACAATTTACAGTGGCAATTCAACTACAAAAATGGAGCCAAGTACGCTAACCTTGGTCGAGAAATCAAACAAAAAATAGAATGATTAAAAGGCAGCCTGCTTTAACATAATTTGACCCGTTCTATCAAAATCAGTTGGATGTCTCAAAGAATCATTCCAAAATAGTCATTCAATTTATGACGAAAACTTGTTATGGTCATATTGGAATTTTGGTTGATTTGGATTTTGAATTATTGGAGAAAATAAGATTTATCGCACACACACGTTAACGATACTTTCAAGATTGGTTGAGCAAAATTATCTCCACTTCAAACAAACGACATCATGGTCGCATGATGTCGTGATTAGCGTCACCACTTCTAAGATAAAGGCAGCTATTATTTGGTTAGCAGCTGCTGTGTTTTATTCAGAAAAGGGGTGCTCCGCCTATATGGGCAACTCTCCACCTATCAGGGGAATGAAAGACCGCTCGCTGGAGACGCTGTAGTACATATGCCAGGCCTGTAAGTGGCGCTGTAGTCTGCCACAAAAGCAGAATCAGCCCTTGCAAAAACAGGGCTGGAAAAGAGCAAATAGAGCGAAATGAGGCATGGCTAAAATGCATGATCTGTTTGGTATTTTGAAAAAAAAACTTCACAGACATGTTTTATATAGGTATGGCCCTACAATATATGTTTCAAATATAGCATGATAGGTCCACTTTAAGTCTTAGACGGTGGGAACCTCTAAGATCACCAGTATCTTATATTAGATGTGTCTGATGGTTTTTGTGGACTAAGGTTTTTCTTATAATATTGTAAGATAAAGAATTACATAGTTCCATAGGTCCATATTTAATCATTATAGCATAGATTGAGGAGGCTGTATAAAGCAAACAGTGGAGGGTCTAAAATAATGTTGTACTGACTGGATCCCTTACTTCAATAAACTTTAAAATGTTTAGGCTATATTCTTAAATTGTGTCTGTTATTTTGGCCACCCCTGCAGTTACCTCACATTTATGTTTGCTAGTTAGTTTGTGGTAAAAATGGAGATCTAGATGCCATCAGAGTGCAGCTCTCTGTCGACAGAGATTTGCTTCGAGCCGTGCGGTCACTCAACCTGCGTGGTAATCAATTTGCTCACAGCTTGCTGAAGCCTTAAACACGAGGAAGCAGGCCCATTAGAGAGGTGTTAAAAAGGCTGTAACAGTCCACATCTTTCATGGGGTCATTTTGCTGGTGCGCTATAGCACCGTTTTACCCGTCAAGTTGGCTCTTTGAGAAACATGTTAACAAGGAGAATCAATTTACACAAGCGGTCTGGTGTCTGGGCGCAGGCTGTGATAATGGACTTTCCACTTTTTTTTGTGGACACATCACGCACTTAAAATAAATGTACACCTCTGACCTTTTTATTCAGCAGTGGCAGTTTTAAAGTGTTAAAAGACTCAAGAATCAATAGTAAGTCACTCTTTCCCACTTGATGAAAGTGTTAAAACTATAAAATGCTCTCTATCATTGATCGCAATCTAGCTGTCAGCCGATAGGAGTTTGTTGAAAATAGAAGACTTGCCAATCTGGGGTTTCTGAGAAGACTTAATCAGGCCTTTCATCTGCTGCGATTCACTCAAAACAAAAAGCATGAGTAAGAATCTGCCACTTCAAAAGTGAGATGGAGATAATTTCCTTTTGTTAAAAAATCACCACCACATATTTTAATTTACAGCTTACCAAGAAATGTAATTGTGATATTCTGCTGTTTTAAATCTTTAGTCCAAATGCATGCAGAGAAAAAATATCTCAAATTATTTCTAGAGCCGAGTCACCTTCTTCTTTGTTAAATGGCAAATAACATTTAGATGGGAAACTGGTGATGCCTTGTGTGCTCTGATCTGGGAGATCAAAATGACAAGTGTTTCATGGGCTGAATAATCAAAGTGTCTTATTTATAGTAATGTTGAAGTTTTATCTTCATTCATGAAAATATTTATGTTTAGCTGTTGCAATGATAAGCTGCAAATCATCATCTAAAGTGCGCTTAACAGTGAGACTGGAAACAAAAAGCTTTTAGATCTCTCAAACCTTTTTTCCTGTACATGTTCAGTCCTGCGTTTTGCTAGCTTGCCAAATTGCCAAGATACTTCCACCTGACAACAAGTGCATGATTATATTTTTTATGCAAATGTTTCCAACTCTGGGGGAATGAGTAAGTATCGTAAAATATTTCTAATTCCTTATCAAAGCTAAGCTAAGTCGGATATTATTATAAAAACTGAATTATTAGACATTATTTATATATTATTAATTATGATTGTGGAGCTAACAGAGTTAAGTAAATTAATTAATGCAATAACGAGCATTTGATACCTATACCATTGCAATTCTATGATCAGGTAAAAAACTGAATAATAAATTCCATGTATTTAGGAAGTTAACGGATCATATTTCCATCTATAGTATCTTATATGGCTGCGAAAACCCTTCCTTCTAAATAACCAAAATGTATTCAAATATTTTGCCACAACCTTAACAACATCACATTCGAACACGGAATTGAACATTAGCCTTCATCCAATACTAATTTAAACTGAATGAATTTTGAATAATGTACCTTCATGAAATCTAAATCAGAAAATGTAAATTAGCTCCATGATTTAGCAAAGCAGAACTATGCTGCCAACAGCTAACGCTAACTAGCTCTCCCTATTCCAAAATGCAGCATTCTTCGGGGAAAATAGGGTGCATTATTCTTGAGTCTCAATGTACCTGAGGAAAAACCGGCTTACCTTCTCTCCCAGGGCCCGGAGGCTGTCCAGGAAGCGGGGCCAGAAGTCCTTAAAAAGTGGACGGTCAATCCTCTTCAGACTGTCTTTGGTGCTGGCGTCCACACTGACATACAGCTGGGTGACTGGCACAAGGCTCCTGGAAAGAGTAGAAAATATGGAGGAGAAATGAGGGTAGGAATAATAATGAACCTGGGTGGCATTTAAACGCTGTGCTAAAAGCAACATTCATTGCACAGACTGGAATGGCAAAATAAGTGGGCAGAGGAGGAGGAAGCTGTAAAACAAGGAGTGCTTCTCATCAATATTAAATAATTTAAGAAGACATTAACTTGTGTGCATTTAGCTGCAGTGAGGGACAATCAGGATTAGCAGGAGGATGCACAGGATTATTAAACACTACCAGAAAAGTATCAAAAATTCACACAAGCGAAACAAGAACAGCAATAGTCCCTAATGCTTCTTACTTTTAGATGAGAGATTAAAAGATATGCTGTGCTAAGAGAGGCCATTATGTAGAGATGCAAAAACAAACCAAGTAGCCAAACAAGCAACGAGACAGGGGTCTGGAAATTCAGCTTGTTCTACTATAGGAGAATTCCACTGATCTAAGCATTACAGGAGGAGAGACTCAACAAACAGCTCAGCTCCTCTCCAACCAGGAGGCTCTGCAGACAGGGAAGAGAATGGCTGATGGCTACTGTCCTTCCAGCAGAGGCAGGGTTTCCCACACATAGACTTTACTTGGGCGGGCCGCCCAGGTATATTAACGGCCGCCCAAGTATATTTCGCGACCCATTTCGTTTTTTTAAAGTTTCTTTTATGTATTGTGAACGCAACGCTGCGCAAATGTGGGTCTGCCTCACACAGGGTGACTGGCTGTCTACATGATGTGGCCTGCCGACATGGCCACTGTCATACAGATCATAAATCAAAGCCATTGATTGGTCTCTGTGTGTCATTCAAGCTCGGGATAACTACAGCTCAGGGGCCTTTAGCGGGCTAGATCACTTATGCTGAACGGCTAGCCTGCTCCGGAGCAGGATAGGTTCCAGGATAAGAGATCAACTGTGCAGAGTTCTTCTTCTTCTTTGCTTTAATGGCGAATCGCTTCCAATTGGAGCATATATCGCCACCTACTGTTGATTTATTTAATGTCCATGTTAAATCCTTGTCCTCAGACCGTTTCAATAAGGATAAATCTATTACAGGTTGAGGTAGCAACCATGGTGGAACAGCTGATAACAGTGTGCAGAGTTTAAAGCGATCAAGTCATATTACAGGATAAAGGAAATACAGTTTAAACTGCTGTTGCAGGAAAGACGGCCGGTCAAAATCACCGACTGTGTGAACGTGAAAATGAATAGAATATCACCTCCCATCTTCAGAGCAATCTGACTAATATAACATTAGCGTTAAGAAAGCTTAATTAAATACCTGCCACGACATAAGTAACCGGATCAAAGTAACATTAAGTACAGTCCGCGGCACTGTGAGTGCAGACGTCGATGTGTCCCATTATCATTCATATCACATCACATCATAATGTATCATATATTTCCTTATCTGAGTCAGCTTCTTGAGCCGTATCTGGCCGTGCAACACTCAGTGTCACATACTGTATGCAGAAGTATTATTTTAAGCAACACATTAAGTTGACGAAACACTCGAGTCAAATGTAATTAAAGTCAGATCCACTCGTGTCTTAGACGGGGCAGTGATTTCATAAACCTGTTAATGTACGCATTCAAACACTTTTTCTGTTACCAGCTGTATTCACCTTGCAGGTGCAGCTATGTGGCTTTTATCCTGGATAAAGTGTCATGGATGTTTAAAGTTTAACGTCTTCATATGTCTAATATTATAGTTGACTTTTCATTCAGGAAGTATGACGCTGCGCTGTCAGTACGCGGCTTGTCCATGTTTGTGATTGGTCGATCGCTCCAAATACCACCCCTTTTATGTGAACGCGCACCTAACTAGATAGGACACGGCTGGCTTGAACGATCGAGTTGATAGCCAGCGTCGTAGGACAGTTTAGCGAGAGCGGGTTTTTTTTTGGATTAAGTAAACCGGATAACTCAAAACATATCCAGGATATGTTGAACTAGATTCGTAGTATAGGCCCCAGGTGAGGTAAAGGACTCTCTGAGTGTTTAGATAGTTAACTTAGTCTAAGTTCTCAGTGGGTCTCAAACGGTTTGGTCACCATTTATGTAAACACATATTTCCATTTGAGGGGGTAGTGATTAGTAAAATATGCATGAATAAAAAAGAAAGAGTTAACTAGGTGAAAAAAGGTAAGATACACTTTTAAAACTTGTTGAGAGCTAAAACTAGTCTTTGCTGCTGCCTGAAAGAGGAGCAGGGGGGAGAGGGGGGAGAGGAGGGAGAGGAGAGAGACAGGTGAGGCTGATGCAGGAGCCCAGACACACTCACAACTATAAATGAACCAAAAATAAATAAATAAACAAGTTTCAGTGTTTTTTCATATTGGATATGGTATGTTATTGGTTATGGCCATGATTTTATGATTATTGAAATGTATACAGTTCTGTTTCATATAGGTGTTCCCATAGATCTAGTCTCTTTATTTCCCCCTCAAAGTGCACCAGATTGATTAATTTAAATCCAAAATGTAAAAATAAATCTTACTGGGGGAGCATGCACCCGGACCGCCCTGAGGATTTGAGGTCCACCCCCACTTAAAATCACATGGACAGGTTCCTAAATTCATTTACAATTTTTTTTAAATAGTAACCCATGTCCATATGTTTATTATGGGGTAGTAGATTTAAACTATAGGGCTATCACTATGGGCAGCAACACTGTAAATATTGACAAATAAATCCAGCAAAATGGCACAAAAGAAAGTGGCCTGGCTGGGTGTATAATTTCCGGCCTGACTTAGGCTGGAGCCACACGAGGACGATAATGCAAACGGACCGAAATCGTTATCAAAAAAGTCTTCCGTCCACACGCAAGAGGCACCAGAAACGTGTCCGTTCACACGAGACCGCTCGAAAGTGCTGGAGACGCTGCAGTACATATGCCGGGTCCAGGGCCGTGGGAAGTAGGGGTGCTGAGGGTGCTGCAGCACCCCCTGATGGAGGACAGGGAATCTGCACGTCCACAAGATTAAATGGAAATATAATACAAAAAAACGAATTTTCAGCCTTGATGTAACAACATTCATAATTAAGTAAAGATAACACCCTTTTCACCCCGGTTACATTTTCCATTTGCCCTGTACGATGGGCGATGTAAGTGATGAAAGTGGGGGATGTTGGCTTATCAGGCGCCCGCAGCTCACAGCCAAAGTGAGAGAGAGAGAGAGAGAGAGAGAGAGACAGAGAGAGAGAGAGCGAGAGAGAGAGCGAGAGAGAGAGCGAGAGAGAGAGCGAGAGAGAGAGAGAGAGAGAGCGAGAGAGCGAGAGAGCGAGAGAGCGAGAGAGAGAGAGAGAGCGAGAGAGCGAGAGAGAGAGAGAGAGAGAGAGAGAGAGGAAACACCGGTACCGGCGGGGATTGTTGTTAGCTTCTGTTGCGCTAACGGATAAAATAAGAAAATAAGCTGTTTCTACAATAATGTGGAGGGAGAGTTCTCTCCTGTGAGACTAAGAGGCTCAGTGAGGTAAAGGACTCTGAGTGTTTAGATTGTTCAATTTAGTCTGAGTTATCTCAGTAGTGGGTCTCAAACGGTTCGATCACAATTTATGTAAACAAATATTTCCAAGGCACACCTTTATAATTATTAGGATAAATAAAAACAGGTTTGAAATCATTCCAATGTATACTATAGGACAGTAAACCAAAAATATGGTTTAAAACTGGAGATTAAAAAAAATGCATGAATAAATAAATCAGAGTTCCCGTTAGCCGGTAATTACCGGACTATGACCGGTAAAATATGCTGAAGACCGGCAAATCTAAATCTCTCCGGTCAAAATAATTTCCCTTTAGCACAATACCGCATCAGTTGCGCCACTTATGTGACAGACAAGAAGAGTATGTGACAGACAAGAATAGTCATTTAATGTCTAACACTTAATGTGGAGAAAGAGATGTCCTGTATGGGTTGATTGTGCGTTGATCTGTTGGTAATGCCTCGGGGTTCCGGTGGGCATGTAAACAAATGCATAATGCTGCGCTATACTTTGCAGCCTCACCCGGTTGCATAGCGGCGCTTATTGTTTAGGTGTCTTTTAATAAGCAGGTAGTCATATCATTAGCTAGAACTAGCTAGATCTGATCGATATGGACATAAACGTGAGTGAAGTCTAATCTGACGGGAGCGAGAGATCAGCTGCTGCTGACGAGTCGACATGCAGCTCTGCATGATCACCTGCAGCGGTGAGCAGAGCAAAACACACTTCAGGTTAGAACATCACACGTAGCTATTTTAATTACCTCTCAAACTACCTAAACTTTACTGGATTACTGGATCCGCGAGCTGCATGATACTGACGGGCTGTCAGGAGAGGGAGAGAGAGCGCTCCGTTTATTATTCCCGTGTTTTTGTAAGTTACTGTACACTTTTGAATAATGTAGTTAATCTACTATAATTAGTTTGTTTAATATCGAATCATATCAATTTGTTTTAAAGCTCAATAAATAACAAAGAAGACCTTTGACCTGCACTTTTCTCATTTTGTCCGGAAGATTTCAACTTTAACGGACATGTTGACCGGCAAAAAAATATTCTAACGGGAACTCTGAAATAAATGTTAACTGGTCAAATAAGATATAAATGAACAACAAAAATAAAACAAGTTACATTTATTTGTTATTGGCTATGGTGGGTTATTGGTTATGTTCACATACTTATTTGATTATTAAAATGCAAACCGATCTTTTTCATATGGGTGTTTAAAGTTGTACCCCCTAGATCTAGTCTCTAGTAATTCTGCTCAAAGTGCAGCATTTTACTTTAAAATGTTAAAAATTAAAACATGTTCATAAAATACTAAATGCATTTGAAGCCTTTTCATATAAACTGTCCACCATGTCAATAAGTTTCTCTTTTTGTAGTGTATTGGTCTTTTGTAGAGGTTTTTCATTGGCAGCTAAAATCTTGCATATAGGGCAGCAAATTGGTCAGAACCAGCCCTGGTGTCATCCCCACAGCACCCCCCATTTGAAACATGTTCCCACTGCGATGGCCGGGCCTGTAAGTGGCGCTGTACTTCGGCCACAAAATACACCAAAAGCAGCGAAGAAGACTTCTCACGCATGCATGGTTGCCATGGTCGCCCTTCTGTTTATTCTCCGCGCTGGATTTAGCAGCAGAGGTGGGGTTTCGCCGGTCAACATGTCCGTTAAAGTTTAAATCTTCCGGACAAAATTAGAAAAGTGCCGGTCAAAGGTCTTCTTTGTTATTTATTGAGCTTTAAAACAGAATAACGACTCTATATAATAATACACGGAGGACGGAGCCTCTCTTTTCCTCCCTCTCTCCTGACAGCCCGTCAGTATCCGTGGTCTCATGCAGCTGGCTGATCCAGTAATGAGTGACCCGACAGTAAAAATAAACATATTTATAATTAGTTTAGGTAGTTTGAGAGGTAATTAAAATAGCTACGGGTGATGATCTAACTTGAAGTGTGTGTTTTGTTCCGCTCATCGCTCCATCACAGCGGGCGGAGCTGCAGGTTATCATGCAGAGCTGCGTGTCTCCTCTCCTGTCCGATTAGACTTCACTCGCATTTATGTCCATATCGATCAAATCTAGCTGGAAGCTCCTGCTGGGTGCACTGTCCTGCGAGATACCGGGACCTGGCTCGAAACACTGGGGCTATTGCGTCATCGTTATCAGGAAATGATCGTATAGGCGTAAACACAGAGCCGTTTCCCCCCCAGAGCGTTTCGTTTGCAGATCTACCCCCCTTGGGACCCGTTATCGTTATCGTTTTATGCGTTTCCATGTCGGCCTTGTGTGGCCGAACCGTCTATCTGATAGAGAACTGTAGCAGATACGACCGTTATCGTCCTCGTGTGGCTGCAGCCTTATTGTCTCGGTCCGGCCCTGGCTGTACCTGTTCGCTCTGCCATCGCGTGAAGGGTCTGCTCACAAGCGGCCAACAGAAAGGTTAATGTTAATGTTGTTGTTGTTGTTGTTGTTGTTGCACGTCACCTCACAACCCCCCCCCCCCCCCCCCAAGTATATTTCAGATCTGTGGGAAACACTGAGAGGTATTTGACATCTCAGTCTGTGACGTGGAAGTTAGCTGACATATTATTGATTATGTCGGGGAGTGTCTCGAAAAAACCTGGACTACTCGAGATATGTGGTCAATATGATGCGGAGTGACAGAAACCAAGGTAAACATATTGACATGTATATATTTCATGTTTATTGTAAACAGGCTAATTAAGCTTTTTTTTTATCTCAAATCTCATTTCATCAATAAACTTTATTTTACTGTTCTTCTCTTCTTTTCTTCTCTTATGGTACCAGATTCATCAAAACCTAAAGCCTTGTATCTGCGTGAAGATTTACAATGCAACCTTTAAAGTGCACCTATCATGCTATTTTTAGGCAATAGCATAGGTCTCAGATATATAAAAATACATAAAAAACATGTCTATGAAGTGTTTTGTTCAAAATACCAAACAGATCACCCATTCTAGCCATGCCTCATATCCCTCTATTTCACTTCCTGTTTCAAAAGTGCTGATTTGTGGTATAAAGCTTTAAAAAAAAGAAGAAGAAATTGATAAAAAAAAAGAAAGGAGGGGGCTGAGCTCATGCGGGAGATTCTACCGGCAAATACTGCGGTGATGAAACGCCATATCATGGATTATCAAGGATTATTTCTGAAACAGTATGGAGCTCAAAGGCTTTCTCTCTTGCCGGTTATACCACAAGGTGAGTTCCTTTTTATTTCCTGCTTCTTCACACACATGCTCTCCAGTACAGGTTAGCTCTGAGTGTTAGCGATGCTAATGTAAACACTGACCATATTACGTCCAAAACAGTCGGGCATTGTTTTTGATAGCAACGTTTCTGATAGGGCCGTGGGTGTAAAGCCAGCCTACATTTCCGATATTACGTCATATCGGACGCAAATCTGGATCAGCTCCGTTGTAGCCCCGTTTTTAGAGATTTGGGTACGGAGGAAAAGAGAGAGGGTTTTATTTTGTGACGCTGCGTGAGTTCCCTGACACACCGGGGACACATATTTATGTATAAAAGACATAAAAAAGTGTGTTTTGCATGATAGGTCCCCTTTAAGAGAAGTCCTATGGGGCATTGTTTAAAGGAGCCCTATTTCGTTCATTTTCAGGCTGGCTCTTTTGTGAATGGTCAAGCACTTAGAGATCTCCCGCCCCTTAGCCCTTTCATATACAATGTGTTGGAGCGTTTTTTTCATGCGGGCAGGGCATGGGGCAGAGGGGAGTGGGAGAGAAACTCCCTAAGGAGGGAACACAGGGATTTTAGCCTTTGCAGACCATTTACATGCACAGAAACGTATAGAACACACTACAGAAGAGGGAAAACCCCAAAAAGCATAATAGGGCCCCTTTAAATAAGATATAGCATCACACACACAGATTTACCGTTGTGACACTTCTTTTGAAAATTTAGATTTTTTTCAAATTCCTTACGTGTGAGTTTTTTTGTGGAGCTAGCAGCAAGTGTTTATAAGTGGAAATGGTTTATTAAGCACTCGAGCAAAGGTTCCAAATACATTATGATGGTTTGAAAAGGGCCAGTTCACCCAAATTACAGAACACTCACTTGTCCTAAGTGGCATCTGCTCATGCACAATGTTTAATGTACGAAGGTTTTGATCTGCAAGATTCTGAAACCAATACAACTGAAGCTAATATTTTTTTGTGCTGCTCAAAGCACTAAAAGTTTAATTTGACTACATATTGCCGATTCGTTATTTAAAGCCTAACAAACAAACAACTCTTAACAATAGGGTAAAATACTTTGTGTTGGTTAGAGGACACACAGCACTCATAATTGTGGAGGCCAAACCTTTGATCTTCCCTGCTGGGGAACAATATAACTGCTGAGACACACTCCCACTACTTCAAAGAGCTTGCCAAGGCAGAAGGTACAAATATACTACAGGAACATAATGAGCTGAAACAGATTGGCTGGAAGGAATATTTTGAGAGAAGAAATAAATAGAAACAACCCCCCCAAAAAAAAATATCTGTGTGTCTCTTTCACCCCTACCTGATCTCCTCAGGAAACTGTGCATTGGTGACCAGGAAGCTGGAGATGTGATGGGTGTGGAGGAGGCGGATGAAGGTGTTGATTTCGGGGTACATGATTGGCTCCCCCACCAGGGAGAGGGCACAGTGTTTGACTGCCAAGCCCTCCTCGTAGCGCTCGGGCTTCACTCCTGGGACACCTGGAGGGGGGGAAGGAACAGAAGATTGTTTTCATGCTAATCCACCTTCAACTCAATCAATGTCTCCCACCAATAAAAGCATCACAACAAGTAAGCCTCACACGGGGCACAGGTTTAGGACGCTGGTAGCTCCGTCCTTTAGGACTTGGCTTAGGAACTGTAAGGTTGCTGTAGGAGCCACATGTAAGTGTTTTTTTTATTTATTATGTGTTTTTTCACTCATTATTGGTGGTGGGCAGTTGGTTCTGGAGCTTGGGTGGTGATAGTAGTGCTTATAGCTGACTGCATTCACCTGGGAGTGAAATGTTATGTTGACTGAAATCACATTTACACTTCCACTTGCAATCCAACTTGCACTAGGTAACTGGTACCAATTTTACTTTATTTTTGCCTGTTTTTAGAAGAATAAATGGTCAAACCAACTCCATACGTGGAGGGGATTGGGATTTTTACATCACAGTGTTGCTACCATTGTTTATCGCCTACAGCTGTGATAGGTCGCTGATTAAAGTCCCCAAACCGACATGCCCTTGAGCAAGGCACTGAACCCTAACAGCGCTCCCCAGGCGCTGTAAATATGATAGTTGCCCACTGTTCCTAATAGTAGCAATAGTTTAATGCTGAATCTGGGGCAGGCGGTATCTCAGTCTGTAGAGGCTTAGCTTGGGAACCATATGTCACCGGATGGTCACTGTTTTAAATCACTGCACAGACCAGAACAAATGTGTAAATAAAAAAAATGTTGTGTGTCCTGGTAGCGGAAAAGGTGCCAGATCACTTTTTGGGAGTACCGGGTGTCATTGAGCAAGACACAGAACCCCCAGCTGCTCCAGGGCAACAACACCTGGCAGCCCCTTTGCTCTGACACCTCTCCATTAATGCATGTTTGCATTTCAACTATTATAAAACAGCTGAATTTCCCCTAGGGGAATCAGAAAGTATGCCTTCTTAAATCAAAAGAGCACCAAGTAAAGAAAAACGGTGGGAAGGAACAGCATGAGGTCAGGGTTTGAAGTGAGGTCAAACTGAGTAATTACCAATAGGGACAGGAGAGACGTGTGGTGGTCATGAAAAATGAGCAGAAGAGAGGGGAGACGGGGAAAGTTGGAGCTCTGGGAGTCGGGCCTGAAGCCCAGACTGTCTCCTCCTCCCCCTCTCTCCTTCTTTCCACTGGGTGGTCTTGGACTCTCCTAGTGCTCAGTGGATCTCCATGCAAAGACCAACAGGTGCTGTTAAAATACGCCCAGCATAAGTTCTGAGTATGATAATGAATGTTATGAAGTGTAATAGACTGCTGCTATTAACCTTTAAGATTACTACCTATGTTGAATTTTAAAAAGACCAGATGAAATGAATTTAAGAGAAGAGGAACCAAGTCTCAGTTTTATCGTCCAATCGAGGAAAATCCATAATTGGACCACGACCACAGGCCGCCATAATGACATACATTTGATGCATAGGATTCAACTAAATTAGATTAATGACCACAACCACCAGGGACATAAAAAGAACAGCGAGATGATGTGTCATTAGTTGAATATGTAGATGTGTATAAACCGTGTTTAATTAAGTCTCTTTCTCTGGGTTTGGCAATGGTGGAGAGGTAGGGGATGTGAAATAAGTTAACAGAAGAAAAGTTCATATAAGAGTGCTGACAGTATCAAGTATTAAATGCTGGCAAGATTTTGATGGAGACAGGGAATAAATGAAAAGTGGAAGCTTTGGGGGAAAGAGTTTCATACACTGTCATGGGGATTTGATGTAATAAATCTAAAGTCAAAGCAGATGCTATTTAATTTAAAATACATGCACTGAATCTCAATTAAATAAAAGTTGGACTGTTGCCTTCAGATGCTTTATAACACCTTCTATGAATAATTGATAAGTTTGAAACATTTTGTATGGATGAAACCATAGAAAGCACCTGTTACCGTGCTACTCTTCAAGGGTAAACCATGCAAAGGAACAGCTGCTAACCACAGGAGCAAACCCACTGAACTCTGGGAGAACTGAAGAATGGTGCACGTGTGTGAAACCTCATTAAATGTACCATATCTTACGGTATTAGTAATGTGAATTACATTACATTACCACATAATACCCTTCCTTGAGGTCATTAGAGGGGCTCACTGCTCTAAAGTGGACCACTCAGATAGAAATGATCTATGGGCAAAGACGTGGCGCTCTATTACAATTTAAGCAGTTGTTGTGTAGCCTCAGAATTGAAAAACTATAAAACTATTATCGCAGACCTTTGATGTGCAGACATGACCTGCTTCATCCATGACACAGAGGGGGTTTGATAAGTCATTATCCTTTGCTTTGCAGGCTTCTTCTCCCCCTCTCATTTAGTGGGAATGCTGATACAGCATTCCCACTATCTGTTATGCTACGCACAAAAATTCTTTATTATTCCGCCGGGTTATTTTGCACCTCTTTTTCTCCCCACATTCCACATCGCAGAAAACTCCGTTCAAAACATCAAAACGTTCAGCTCGGTCGGGAATCGATGGCTATTACTTTTCTTATTCATAACTTTCATAATTCCAGAGATACATCCCATAATTCATCAAATGTTTAACATGAAAGTCAATGGAGAAACTCTTCAGACTTGAACAATCTTCATGCAACTTCAACTGCTAATTCATACTTTCACTCTACTAAAATGTTACACTCTTTCTGACATTATTCGTGTAACACACTTTTAAATCTGATTCTTACTTTAGAGATATTAAACATTGTTCAGACCTTGGTAAAGAGGCCTTCTTCAGATTTTAGAGTGCGTGATGTCACAGCTAGAGTGGAGGACAGATTTAATTTTGCCTTCATATTTTCTTTTAAACCTGCCATAATTCCCAAACCCTACATTCCTGAGACATCATTTTTCATGAGAAACGTAGGAAAACATCTCGTAGCTTGAAAAATTAAAAAGATTAAGCAAAATAATTAAACAAAATGCCTCTTGAGGGCATGAAGTGACAAAAACCGTTCAATATGTCTCCATTAAACCCCATTGGTAAGTTCAGCCTCATCGATCCCGCACCACAGCAGCTGCACACCTTTAGTTAATCTGCCAAAAAGGCACATTATTAACCCGAAAGTACACAAAAAGTACACTTCAGATGCTCAAGTTCCTTGACATGCTTCACGCTTTGAAATTTCACACCGATATCTGTTACGGTTCTTCAACAAAACGTTCACATGTAAGAGGTTTATCTCTCATTCAGAACAATGAAAATGCTCTCCTCTCAACCTGATTACTGCACATCACACATGGAAACCTTTGATCTCTGGACACGTCGTTAGCTCAAATATAAACACCTGTGTCATGGAACACGATGATGTCATAACTCCAACTGACATGCTCAGAGCAGCAGACTTCAGATATGGGTAATGGTCCTGCCCTCAACTGCTCTATACGTCAATTATGGGGGTGTCATCATATGCCGTTTCCATGGAAACGCATCCCTCGCCATAAAAGAGACGATGTCGCTATACATTAACTCCTATGAAAATGTTCAAAAAGTGCTCAAACTTCAACATGTGTGCTAACAGTCCAGCCGTGAAGACATCTACGGGACAGTTTTGAGATTTCTTCAAATGCCGTTGCCATGGCAACACAATGCTCGCCATGAAACACGGTTTTCTCATAACTTCAGTGAAAATGCTCCAACGGCCCAAAACTTCACAGGTTTGGTAACGATGCAGCCATCAACGCATCTAAGCGTATTATGGGATGTCATCAAATGCTGTTGGCATGGCGACAGATCATTCGCCATCAAGTTAGTTCAAAAGTTTGCAGTTCAAATATTCTGCTGCTTTTCCAAGCCTTTTTACTTTATTTTCTTCTCTCATCACACATTCAAGCCCCCAGTCTTCATGTATCATTTCAATCTAAATTCTTCACTTTCTTCTTACACATTGCATTTCAGCATAGCAGTTTAGCGTCAGCTTTTCAGCATAAAGCATTCCCACTAGCAATTTCTTCAGGAATTGCATTCTTTAGTTTGTTTATGATGTGTTAGTTATGAAAACACACTGAACACTTCCTTTGCTGTTGTTGTTTTTTACAAAAATGAACTAGGACATGGATACTTGGATGGAAGGGCCAGTGTACGAGAACAGTATGCATGACTGGGGTGAGTCGTTTAAAAATTGAAAGTGCTGTGTTGCTGCTGAGAGAATGAGAGAATAAAATACAGCGGCAAAAGCTCTTCTTACTTCATCCGCATGCAATTGTACTAAAATAAAGTAGGTTTATAAGAGGTCTGCACAATTAATTAAAAAATGCTTTGATTTCAGTATGGGCAACCCAAATCGCAGTAAGCACAATAATTGGTCATGGAAAATGTGTGAAAAATGTATAAAGAAATTCCTTGCATGCTACATATTCTCCTAACATGATCATTTTAATATATTTTTAAATGATAATGTGAATATTGTTTCAAAACTGATCATCTCGGGGATCATATGGTAATTGCAATATCAATATTAGCTATTTTTTCAAAATTGTGCGTTCCTAGTTCATACTCATGTGGATTTTATTATAATGCTTTGAGTATGACCTAAGAGAGTTTGATTTACTGCCAACCAAAGAGCATAACACTGCATCATATTGGAAGAAGTGATGAATATGGAGGAAAATCAAATAAACAAACCCATCCTACACTGAAATAAAAGAAGATATTCACTACCGTTGTATCACGTACAGTAACAACAGAGTAAGAGTTAAATCACAAGGACCGTTCTGTTGGTAACTAAACCTTGATTTTAATTTTTTAAAGGCATCTTTTCATAACTTATTATTATATAACTGTTGCATGGGGTTTTAAAACTATTTTTGATGAGATCTTTAAAGCAGTAGAACATCATGTAATCAGAGTAGAACCCAGTTTAACCACACAGTGGGGTTTTCAGAGGCATTGTCTGGTTAGATCATTGCTTTAGACATTATAAAACGTATCACTGAATGGTAAATGGAGTTGAAGGCTGCCTAATGTGATTCTGTAGTGCAGCTGGAAACAAATTATGGATGATAATGACATTATAGGCTTGCGTTTTGCTCTAGTGTGTTTCTTCATTAAATTGCAAAGCATCTGAAAATGTGCTTTTCTTTATTTGCTGGACAAAATGGCGTAATTGAAAGCCTTTTGTTACAAATATGCATGTTTATTTTATTTATAAGCGAACTAAGAAGCTTGGATACATACTATTTTTCCATTATAATAAACAACAGGAGATCACTTTTCTATGATGACATGCATTATAATACAGCTCTGAGAATGATACTAGCTATAAAGTAACGCTTTAAAGAAGAAATATCTGAAAGGCTTTCAGCATTTGGCCTCTATTTCATTTCCATATAACAGCTTCTCTGTTTGATAATGGGATCAGCAGTTGAGGTAAGCGAGCCTGTTGACTGTGAGGTCAAAGAATCAATCAGTCATACAATCTTTGATGTCAATGTACTGTAAACGTTGTAAGATGAAAGGGTTAGGGCTTTAATAGTCGAAATATTAAAGTGGCCATATTCTGCTAATGTTCAGGTGTATGTAGTGTCTCTACTGGGACATGTCTCCATGCTTTAATGTTCAAAAAGCTCTTTATTTTTTCTCATACTGCCTGTGCTACAGCAACTCTTTTCACCCTCTGTCTGAAACCAGAGTCCAGTTTGCTCTGATTGGGCAGCTGGCCGGCTCTGTTGTGATTGGTCAACCAGTTAGAGATATCCCGCTCCTTAGCTTAACACGTGTTGGAGCGCTAGCCAATAGAAGCGTGAGTGTTACGTAGTGATGTCACTATGCTGCTAAAGTAAACAAAGGAGTACAATAGAGGCGTGTCAGGCCGGGGGGGGCGGTGTGGGAGAGAAACTCCCTCTGGAGGGAACACAGGGATTTTAGCCTTTACAGACCATTTTGAACAACAATCTAAATAACACTCAAGGGAAAACCCCCCAAATCTAAATATCATTTGTGAGGTTGCACTACTCAAATAGGACACAGGTGTGCATTGGGCACTTAAAGAAGGGAAGGGAAAACCCAAACAAGCATAATAGGGCCTCTTTAAATGCCCGGACACACCGGGCCGATTTCGGCCGTCGATAGATGTCGATAGATGTCGATAGATGTCGATAGATGTCGATAGATGTCGATAGATGTCGATAGATGTCTGGCCGTCGATGAGCGTCCTGTCGCCCTCCTCAGATTGTATGAAGTACACTCGACAAAGCAACAGTTTGATGGATAAATAAATAGCCAGACAGACTGAAAGAGAAACAGGACTATACAGAGAGATTGAGAAGGGGAGAATGCTCCTGCTAAAGCAAACCTCTGAACTGTCGGATCATGGTCTGGTGTTTCTCTAGGGCATCCTCCAGGATTTTCTCAGCAGGGTCCATCTTCCAGCGCCACTCTGTGCCCACAGGGTTGGTGTTGTGTCTGTTAGTGCGGCACAAAGATAAACAGGTTAGGGATAACAGCAGGCATACTGTAAGGTAAGGAGTGGTATTATACTACAAATGCCCATTACAGGTCACCTATTATGCAAAGTCCACTTGTTCATGTCTTTTCTACATCAACATGTGTCCCCTCTGTGTAAAGAGATTCTGAAAGTTTCAGGAAAAAAGATTCGCTCACTTTTTGTCCTGATCCATTTATATAAAAACCTGTCTAAGCAGAAAAAATGTATTTGATAAGCCTAAAAGCTGCTTTGTCCTGTATTACACATCAACAGCAACAAAAAAGATTTATTCAGTTTTCTTTACTTACAGAGATCTGTGGCTTTCGACCATTCACAGAAAGAAAACAAAAATATATACAGTGGAAACCCGGTCAGTCAATATATGTACATCTGTGGGAAAACGTCACTACAGCTGAACTATGATGCAAATTAAGTAACCGTCAATGGTCAAAGTAGCATATGTAGGTGCTGCATTGAAATATAAAACACCAACAAGCCAAAGAAATCCGGAGTGTGTTAGCCTGCTGCTTGAAAGGACTTCGATCCCCTATTGCTTTAATTTTCCCCATAAATCAACATAAAACAGCCCACGCATATTTTTAAGCAACATATAGTGCACCCGTTTCAGGATGGTCTGTAGGTGTTGATTTTGCTCTTAGATGACTCTGCTTACTGAACATTTTGTATTATTATTAGAGGTTATTATTACAATCTTTGATCAGTCAAATGTCTTTCAAACTTTCCCAGGATGCAAATATAATGAGTCGAGCGATTTTACGTAGCTACATAACATTTGTATTTGTTTACAATCTTACGCTATACTCTAAAATGAAAGCGCTGTTGTATGAAGAAACAAAGTATTCTGTTTCTATATGAATTAACACACTTATCCGTTTAAATGCATAAAAGAAATGTCCATATCAATATGTATTATACAAAATATAGTGCCTTTTACCGGTCAATAAGGATGATTATTATGAGAGATAATACTTTATAGACTAACTAAATTGCAAAGTGAGGTTAAGCTAACGAGTTGGAGTTAGAGAAAAGGCAAGCTAGTTAGCTAGCCAAATGTTAGCTGCAAAAGATGAATTCAGACTTTTATCTGAAGTCTGACTATTAGTATGATCCAAGCCATCTCTGTCAAACTGCCCCCTGAGACTCTGCAGTGGCTCTTCTCTCCAGGTACATACCTCCAGCAGAAGACACACTTGTTAGCGCAGGCGAGGCTGGGGGTAGTTTCCATGCAGCGGTGAGACTCGATCCCATAGAAAGTGTGCTTGTAACAGCCTCCTCTCCCTCGCAACATAGACTGAGCAACAGAAACAATGCTTTTATTGTTAGGGATGCAAACAGTTAGTTACAAAGTCAAATTCTTCACTGAGAGGAGTACATTCCATTTACCTTGGTCCATCGACAAAGCTTCACTCCTGAATGACTTCCGATGAGTTTGTACCCTACACAGAAGAGAAAGAACAACATGGCTCTCAATCAGTAAACTTTTTTCTGACCAGATATTTAAACATAGAAATCTAGAGGATGTATTTTCTTAGAATGGTACATCAGTAAAGGTCCCGCTCAATATTATCGTTTGGCTACTGATCTTCACATCCGCAATAGGAAGGAAGGAATATCGCTTTAAATTCTCTTTCAGCTAAAAGGAAGATAAAGTGTTACAAATTCTCTCTATCCTCTTTATCCACAGCCTAATACCGCTGGCTATGAACGGCCCTGCTGGGCTGAGTCCTTTTTTACACTTTATCACTTAATCTGCTGAAGAAATACCAGAAAAAGATATTGGGATTGCTTCCAAAGGGATCAAGAAGGGCTCATTTTTATCTTTTTCATTTCATCTGAACGTTTAAAGTGACTTTACTAGCTAAGCCAAGAAGCAGCAGATCAGCCTGATGTGAATTCATTCATGTGTTTGATGCTATAGTCAAAAACCACTGTAATTCATCAAGGCTGTTTAGGATATATTTGCAGAAAAAGTTGAAATGGTGAAAGAACTCATTTCAATGAAGCCCCAGATACATAATTCAATTTAAACACCTAATGTGTGCTTTGTCTTTTTATCTCAGGGGCAGTAAAATGTTGACCAGCATGAAATTGTTTTTCCATCTGAAAATACCTTGAAAGCACATGTCCTCATCTAAACTCGGAAAACAAGGGTATAGGACTAGACCTGCGGGCAGTTAATTTAACCATTGATGTTATTAATGTAAGCAACGGTTCCCCTTCATAGTTTGTTAGGGAAATCAATTTCTAATGTCCTTCAAGGTAGAGGATGGAGCCAAAGCCTTCCTATTTACTCTTTCTCGGTTATCACTGAGACATGGCATCTGCTGAAAAGGTACAATATGTGCTATGAATAATTGTACTTCAATGTGTAGGGAATCACATTTTGAAAGACATTTACCAACGGCTTGCAGTCATCACCACAACAACGCTTTAGCATCAACGTTCCGGAATTCACGAGCAATATGGAAAAAAACTTTTATCCCGGAATTAGTTATTTCATATCTCGATGACAATGTTTATCACCATAAAGCATGTTTTCTGGTCATTCTATACATTTAATAGTCTGTATGAAAGACCCAAATCCATTACAGTTTCAAATGAAATGATAGAGATACAATAAATACATGCTAGCTTTACACTGACTATGTTTCCATGCATGCACACAAATACAGACTCTCAACAGCCTCGTCTTACAGGATCAATGAGACATCATCAATGGATTGAAAGTTTCAGTTGTATTTACTTGTGCTTTCTCCCTGCTCATAGCTTTAGATTTAAAATGTAATGAAACTGCGCCTGGGCCAGAGATGTCTTTCTGCCTCTCGTTAGAGAAAATCACTTAAAAGCGAGATGCCTTTATTTCTACCTGCGACTCTTTTATGCATTTCTTGGGAAATAAGGGTATAGTATTCGACAGAGAGATGAATATACCTTTTTATTTTTCATTCTTACAAAAACAATACCTATATATATATAATATATTATATTATATATATATATATATATATAATATATATATATATATATATATATATATACATATATATATATATATATATATATATATATATATATATATATACCTATATATATATATCTATATATCTATACTATATATATCTACCTACTATATCGCTATATATATATCTCTATATATCTATATCTCTCTCTCTATCTCTATCTATCTCTCTCTCATATTCATATCTATCTATCTCTCTCTATCTCTCTCTCTATCTCTCTCTCTCTCTCTCTCTCTCTCTCTCTCATCTCTCGGTCTGGTTTTTTCGTGTGAATGTGGAATATTAATGAAGATTATGGTTGATAAAAAAGACCACCTGCTTATCTAACAAAGGACTTTAATTTACCACTTACAGTTTCTCTGCTGCTGCAAAAAGAGCTGTTGAATACAAACTAGTCTGTACCCAGAAGCTTTTTGTAAGTGCAACACTGATAAACGGTCTACTCTCGAGTGGGCTGACTGTGGCTTTCAACAACTTGAATAAAAGACAGAATTATTGACAATTCTGCTAACAATTTATTCTGTGATCCATGATACTCTGCCTCTGGGAAATAAAATGAGCAGCAAGAGGATGTGTTTTATCAAAGGGTTGAAAAATCAGTCTAATATCTTTGGAGAGGTCTGCATATTATTTTACAGGCACTAGTTTCAAAGAAGTGGAGAATTTTAAATCACACTTTAAAGTGCATATATGCAAATATATATTTAAAGTGGACCTATCATGCTATATTTGAATAATATAGTGTAGGACCATACCTATGTAAGGCATATTTATACTTTTTTTTTTTCAAAATACCAAACAGATCATGCATTTTAGCCATGCCTCATTTTGCTCAATTTGACATTTTTTAGCTCTGTTTTTGTTAGGGCAGATTCTGTGAGAACAGCACCACCTACAGGCCTGGCATATGTACTACAGCGTCTCCAGCGCTTTCGAACGGCAATGGCCGTGGCTGTCTCCTCCTGATTGGTGGAGTTGGCCCAATAGCCGTAGCGCCACCGTCCTGACGTCAGGACAGTGTTCAAATCTGGATCAGTTTTTATCAGATCCGTTGCAGCCCCTTTTTTAGAGATTTGGGTATGGAGGAAAATAGAGAGGGTTGTGTTTTCTGACACTTGGTGAGTTCCCTGGAACACCGCAGTGTTAATTTCGTCAACGAAAACTATGACGAAAAATGTTCGTCAACGACCTTTTTTACACGACTAAGACGAGACGATAACGAGCTAAAAATAGATTCTTGATAACGAAAATTTGACGAAATGTATATTTAGTTTTCGTTGACGAGACGAGACGGGACTAAGGTGTTAATGGTGGACTATCGGACATTCAAAATGCAGGGTATTTCCCCCCAATTGCCCGTCTTGTCTGTCAAAATGCATCTTACATTTCTAACTTGCAATATCATTATTTCCGCTCTCTTCACTCCAGAAGAGCGAACTCCCTCTCTCTCTGTGTGCGGGGGCGGGGCCTAACAGACACGCTGCAGCGGCAGAGATCTGCCGGGGACGGAGCGTTCAGAGAGTATAGAGACACTCTACAAGGCTCGATGTGGACAAAGCTCGTTTGCCATGTTTTCGCGTTAGCGCGTTGACACGAGTAGAGTAGTCTGTCCAAACAGCCGGCCAAAAGGCGTCATATTCAGTCGGAGAAATGCACAATTTTCGACTTCCTTAACTCGTAGCTCTGTTGCCCCAATTACGAGTAACGTTATCACATCAGGTGTGCAGAGGTGGAAGAAGTACTCAGATCTTGTAGTTAAGTAAAAAAATACCATAGTGTAGAAAGAGTTCCTGAAGTCAAAGTATGATCATCAAAATATAGTGAAAGTAGCGACAGTAAAAGTAGTCATTGTGCAGATTGGTCCATTTCAGAATAATATATATGATATGTTTTATAATGATTGATCATGAAAGTGTTCTCAAAGCTGGTAAAGGTGCAGCTAGTTTGAATGACTTTGTATACTGCAGGGTAGCTTGTGAATTTACTCCAGGTGGAACTAAAGTCTGAGTTAACACTGAGTTATATTTCACATCATTCATCCACATCTGTAAAGTAACTAAAGGTATTCAATACATGTAGTGGAGTAGAAGTACACCATTTAACTATGAACTGTAGTGGAGTAGAAGTACACAGTAGCAAAACATTTAAATACTCCAGTAAAGTACAAGTACCTCAACATTTTACTCAAGTACAGTAGCCTACAATATTTTAACATAATTATATATATTTCATTTATTTCACATTTAAATAAAGCAATTAATTCGGTTAACAATTTGTTAGTTTTTTCCTTTAAAAAATAACAAAAAGTAAATACAAGAATACCGTTAAAGTACCGGATCGATAAGCAGTATTGATAAGACTAGTAGTACCGTAGAAAACCTTAACGATACCCATCCCTAGATATTACACAAGTAAAGTGTTAAGAGAGTGAAATGTTGCTTTACGAATGTCAACACTTGATGCTGTCACCTTGATTACAATGTCAGAAACCTGTATTTGCCTAACTGAATTGGTTTAAAGAGAGAAAACATTTTGACTAAAAGTTGACTAAAATGTAATTTTTCGTCGACTAAAACTAGACTAAAACTATGAAGGACAGAAATGACTAAAATGTGACTAAAACTAATAACCATTTTCGTCTAAAGACTAAGACTAAATCAAAAACAGCTGCCAAAATTAACACTGGAACACCGGGGACACATATTCATGTTTAAAAGACGTACAAAAGTGCATTTTGCATGATAGGTCCCCTTTAAGTCAAAGACATTTTAGGTACAGATATGAGTCGCATTTAAAAATTGTAGTGTGAATTCAGTTGACAGCTATTTCCTTTTCTTAAAAGCTCTCTGTGAAAACTTTCTTGGATATTACCCAAGAATTTTACTAGCTGTGTTACTTTTGCTTCCATGAAATGCCAAATAGGGCTATAGAGGAAATGCAGCCATCCAAGACGAAGAAAACAACGCCAGAACTTTCATCCTTAATTCTTTCATTGCAAATAAAACAAACTGTCTACTGAGACTGACAATTGCCAAGACAACATGAAACAGGTCAGCATTTGGTCAGATGAAGTGAAGTCCTGCTCACTGAGTCCTATTTATAGAGGCTTGTGTAAGCCAACAGTGGGGCTTACTGGCTGAAAACGCCTGACATGTGTTATACTAGAGAACGGACTAAATAGAGAAGATATAGTCAAATGTTTCAGACAGAAACAATGAGTAACAACCAACACTCTGGGGTGTTATATCATAAATATTTAGCCATACTGAATATTAAGGATTCAGACAAAGCCTCACTCATCCAATCATTCAAGCAGCCAGCACTAGTCTATTTTTACAGTCACAAAATGATAGAATACCAAGAAGTAATCCCCCAGACATAACAAAAAAATAAGGGAAACAAGCAGTGACATCCCTGTGCACTAACAAATTGTGCGAACGTATTCTGTTAAATGTATGTCCATAGCTGTTTAACACTTAAATATTACTCTTTCAGATGTATCCATCGCAAACATTTTTCTGACCCCCCAAGAAAAGAAAATTGTAGGGCACGGGCAAAATTATTAATATTTCGACTAGATTGTTTCCCATAAAGAGTGGTGCAGCAATTAGTCCGTAAAGAATCATAAACGAGTGTTACTTTGTAACAAAGTTTATTTTCTGCAATCTGCCCAAATCCCATTCCTTGTGGTCGAGGGATCCCATGTGATACTAACTTCTGGGTCGGCCTACATTAATACTTCATCACTGCACCATTCTTAATACAATTTAAATCCAACATCAATTCTTTTTTTTTTTTGGCCTGAAAAATTAGATTGTCTGTACATTATTGTTATCATAAGTGTACATTTCAGTGAGTTAACGTCCAGCCCTCAAATGGAGACAGCCATACTTCTCAAATGAAACAGTCAGAGATATAATGAATTATATTCAGAGCGGCACAAGAAGACCTTTTAAGGTCACTACATGTCTGGACTTTGAATTAGGATGTATGAGCAATAACATGTTGACAGCAGCTGGGAGTATGGTTTTTTGAGTGTGGGAGGTAAAGACAGTCAATGGACTGAAAATGCAACATTTAGTGCCATTGGAAAACACACATTGCCCTGCTTCACACTCGCCATGTAATACCTCTGACGAGATCAAATTGACCAATTTATCTGTGTTGTTCAGTGTGTCCTCTTCATTTATTCTCATAAATTACGAGTGCAGCTGTTCACATTTCACACAATCATTTATATCTGTGCTCTCTGGCTTTTACAGAGTGCCAGGCTTAGCCTATGCGAAGCCACACACACTGTTGTTTTGACTGAAGGACCTTATTTCTCATACTGCAGCACCTCTTTTCACCCTCTGTCTGAAACCAGAGCCCAGTCTGGCGTTTCAAGAAGGGGGGGAGTGTGTGGGAGAGAAACTCCCTCTGGAGGAAACACAGGGATTGTAGCCTTTGCAGACCATTTACATGCACAAAAACCTTTATAACACACTACAGGGAAAGGAAACATTTAAAATGGGGTTTTTCAGCAGCTGATTAACCTTTACATAATTCTACCAGAGTTTCCAATATGTTGCTGCCTACTGCTTGGTATGCAAAATAAATTAGCATTAGAAGCAAGTAAAGATGATACTTGATCAATTACACCAAACATCTAAATGATCTTCTTACCTGGCACTTGAGCAGGTTTGTTAGATTTGTAGCTGAAATTCAAAAAATGGCTATCAATTAAAGTTTTAAAGAGAATTACGACTGTGCTGCCCTTGTGGAGAGAGAAGGGTTAAGCATATGCTGACAAGCAGATGGTCTTTAATTCGATTTCTTTTTTTTTTTAATGCAGAGCAGCGCAGCTAGATAATAAGAATAAATTATTCACAGTCACCAGTGACACCAGCAGATGTTCTTTTGGAAATGAAACAGATTTACACAAGTCACAGATTCATAAAAGACCACCATTACATGAAGTGGCCATTATAAATCATATTGATGTTTCTCATTTGATGGGTTTAATGCTAGGACTTTTACTGAATAAAACATCCTCAATTTTCTTACCTTGTTTTGTTAGTGCTTTTCTAAGGGCAGGTGTAATCATCTCTCTTCTTTCCGCTTCATCTTCAATCTTCTTCAGTCCATTCACCTTGGAAAGCTTCACCATCAGGCCATCTCCACCCTCCTCTTTGCTCTGCCGCAGACACAAAACTCTAAGTCACTAATTGTTTATGACCACTTTGAAGAAATCAGAGATAAAAGAAAGAAATTCAAAAGAGTTCGATGTTTGACAGGACTAAAGATCAAGGTTGGGATTCTGCTGTCCTTGTATGGCTTTTATGTGTCACATAATCATTAAACAGATTACTTCATTTTTTTATAAATGGACATGATCTTGTGAGAACTATACAGGGTAGTCTTCGTTTAAGGCCCTTCAGGGGCCAAGTGAAACACAACAAGAGGCGTACATTACAGCAAGATAATTTATTGCATTTCAAACCACAACGGCTGTTTTGATGCAAAAGCTGCTGCAGCCTGTTAGTTTGAAGGATTAACAACGTCCTTCAGGCCAGGCTTACATTATTGCAATATACTGCCTTTTTATGTAAATCTAAATATCTAAGAAGTGCTGTTTACAGATGCAAAAGAAGATTGATTAAGTCCTGCTAGAAGAGTTCCCCGGTACATGGGAACATGTATTACTTTTCAGTTAGGTCTGCTGGAGGAGGTGCCTTTGAGATTTCCAATGTGAAGGTGACAGCTCCACCCAATTAATGTGCTGCTGTCCCTGCTCCATCCTGTCTATAAGGCTCGATTTGTCACCTTCTCAGCAGAGCAACGCTTATAAGAGACTGCTACTGTCAGCCATCGTTGAAGAATGTACCTATGTGTGTAGGGAAAAAGTGAAACTTTTGTTAACTGGTTCCTGTGCAGCTTGCAGTGGCATGGAGCCAAGTTCAATTGATCTACATCTATTAGGGCTATACACATGACATGTGCCTCTGAGTCAGGGATTCTATCCAATACACTTTTTGTCAAATAATAAATCTCCACAAAGTCCTCTAACTGTTCCTTCTGAGTGTTGGCTGAAAGGATGCGTTCACTATTTCAAAAACAATTCTAAATTATATTTGAAAACAACCAAATAAATACATCCTTCCCGTCAGTGCTCCTTTGAAACATACGTTGTCTTGTGGCTCAAAGTACTTTACCAAATAGTTGAAGCTTAATTTATATCTTTGTCATCGACATTCAAATTATAATTTTAGGTTGATGACGTCATAAAAATATACTGTCAAACTTTCTATGCTTCCTTTGAATACCCCAAAGAACCTTAATCAGGGTATATGCAGGAATCCTGAAGTCAAATGTAATACCTTTTAAGACCTTTTTTAAGACCCTTTCCATACATTTTAAGACCTCATCGCCACTTCGAGTTTTAACCGGTTACATTGACGACACACTTTACCTCACATTCACTATATACAGTATTGCTAGTCCTTCCTCCTTATCTTCCAACCATTTGGACGCAAACTTGCATTTCCCCATAACGGTGTTGTTTAACAACCGGCATAAACAGACCTTCGCGCGCTATCAAGCAGCAGTCAGTCAGTGGGTGTTTCTCAATGGTCGAGGAAGGCTGCTCCAGAGCCACTATTTCCACGGATGCTACGTCATCGAGTCCTGCCGAAGGACTGTTCCAATGTCCAGGATGCTTGGGATTCTACCGAGGGCGGCGTCCTTCGTTGTGGGAAATGTCGAGGCTGCACATGTGTATCCTCCGCGGTCTTAAAATCCCCACAATGCTTTGCGCACGGACCAATTTCCAAATCTTTGGCGGAAATCGCGCTCCATTTAAGCCACGCATATGACACACACCTGCAGACCTGTTAGCCTGTTCCACCATTCTTCGTTTTCCGAGGCTAGGAAGAATTCTTGCCTCGCTTCTGAAGGACCTGACTTGGAGGGACATGTCCTACCAAGGAAGCGTCCTTGACATTGAGAAACACCCACCGTATTGATTGTCCTTCCTTCTTATCTTCCAACCATTTGGACGCAAACTTGCATTTCTCCATAACGATGTTGTTTAACAAACGGCGTAAACGCACTATCAAGCAGTGAGCGTGCGATGTCCTGTTCAGATGACGTCAAATCCAACGGGATGCCATAAATAAACTACACAGAATCACACCTACGCAATGATTACATTCAGGCAAACTTGCGAATACAACCTCTTTGGACAATTGATATACTTATTGAAAACAAGCTACAAAATGTAATACCTTGGAAAATGCCGTTTAATACTTTTTAACCTGTTAAGCCCCAAGCCTGTTTTTCAGGTTTCAGGCTCGAAAATGACATTCCCAGAACAAATGACCATATCTTCCCTTCTAAAAGGGGTAAATTAATAATCTTTTTTCTCAAAGCAATGATAAACCTGTGAGTTGGATGAAGAAAAGTCAGAATCAATATAGATGTTTTTTTATTTTAAAGTAAATTCAGATTGAACATAGTAAAAAAAATTAAATGATAGTGTCCGTCCAAAAATAAACCATTACTTATAGTGAAAACCACCCTTGAATGATGGATAGTAGACTAAAAGCTTTAGGAATCCAAACTATAACATATAATAAGTACCCTGTATCAAGATTGATGCAAAACAAGTAACATTTGACCTTTTTAGAGAGGTTTAGCAAAAGAAAAACACCTCTGGGGTCATTTAGGTGGAAATGGGTGTATCTCTTTTGAACCGTTAGAGCCAATAGAATCAAAGGGGAATTTCCACATACACACACACACACTTTACCATTGAGAAGTCAGAGCTATGCGCACGCAGTTTGCCCAAAGCGAAACCTATTTTACGCTCTGTAATCTGAAAACTAGGTTTATTGCTGATGGATTATCAGAAATCATTTCAAAGTGACACAGACACATTGGATTAACCTATGGATTAACCTTCAGCAGCGTTATCGTTTTAATGCCATTGAAGACAACTTTTGGTCAGAAAACAACAAAAGGTAAGACATATTGCCGTGTTTGCTACCTAATGCTACGTGGTGTGATGTCTTTGTTAGCTTCTCATGTTGCGAGTTCGGATCGGTCAGTAATGATACTAATACCTGTCGAATCTGTGGAATCTCAGTTTGCTAATCGATACCTTGTTTGTGCAGATACAATAAGTAATAAGGGTATTTTAACGTGAGTTCTGTGCTATGTTTTTCTGTGATAGGTTTTTAAATGTTAAGAAGCCCTCAGACGCTGTTTCTTGCAGATGTTGCGATTTTTCCCCCGCACGCGGGGGAATGGGGCTTAAAGGGCCCATGTCATGCTTTTCCGGTTATTACCCGTCCCCTTGTGTGTTATGAAGGTTTTTATGCATGTAAACGGTGTGCAGAGTCAAAACCCTCAAAGTATACCCTGTAGCGAGTAAAACTCTAACACAGAAAATACCTCCCCAAAACGCCTCGTTGGAGATACGTCACTGCCCATTAGAGTCTTCCATTTAGTTCCGGGTACCGCATGATGTCATGCGGTACCCGGAACGAAATGGACCAATCCCGAAGAGCTATGGCCACACCCAGCGGCGCTGGCCGCACCCTCTGCCAGCCTAACATTTACTGTTGGAAGCTCTGGTTCAGTTCACAATCGATCCAGTCATGCCAATGCCAAGGACCTGTTTCCTGAAATGTGAGGAGAAATCTGAGCTGTTTGTCCTACCGACGGAAGAACCACGACGAAGTCAGTGGTTGAAATGTCTTTTTAACACTGTTCCTTCAGAGGTTCGAAGAACGTTACTGTGTGCGCGGCATTTCACAGACGAAAGCTTCCAAAACATTGCCCAGTTTGAGGCCGGATATGCACAGCATTTGAAACTGAAGGACGATGCTATTCCTAGTTTGTTTGGACCGTTTGGAGCAGGGGAAGATTCGGGTACACAACCTGTAAGTTTGCATTGTTATTTGTGTATTTATCAAACAAGGTATCTACCACGAAAATGTGTAAACATGTTTCGGACTGCTAAGCCAGTGCTAACTGTGCTAACTAAGTTGCTAGCGTTTCCATATCAACTCTAATATCAGCAGATGGCCTTACATACATGTATCTCATAGCAGGAGAATGTCTGCATTCACACACGAAATACTCATAGACAGTATACTCCGGGTGATTTACCGTATGGTCAGTCGCGAAACGTAATTACATTATAGCTGGCGTTCCAAGCGTGTATGCTACCAAGCTAAACAACAAGGCTACTAAGAGCTAGACATGAGTTTGCTCGGAAAAACATTGTTTTTATGCCAGCTACAATGAATGTAGCAGACTACCCATATAAGATTGCAATTGTAAACATGTGCTTGATAGCATAATATGAACCACTATCTGTTGTTCATAGTATAGTATAGCATATTGAACAACTGAACAACTAGCAAACGTAGATTAGCATTGTAATCCAGCTGGCAAGCTGACGAACATCAAACAACTACGTTTATTTCACACTTCCAGCAGAGACAACGGGGAAATCCCCTCTCTTTGCCCGCTCACAGACCCCCAAAGGGCGGTACATTACAGTTGGCTTTCCTCCGACGCTGATAGCATGTATAGCTAACGAGGCTAGCTATACATGCTAGCGGGAAACATCGTATTCATGCCAGTTACAATGAATGACCGAACGTAGCAGACTACCCGTATAAGATTGCAATTATAAACACGTTATTGCTAGCCTAATATGAACCACTAGCTTTTGTTCATAGTAGTTTTATTACACTCCATTATAGTTGCCGTACCTCCGAGCTAACGTTCATATCGTGTTTGCTAACAAGGTAAACAAGAAAGCTAGGTTAGCATATTAGCTGGCAAGCTTACTGTGTTTATTAGATAGATGGATTAGATAGATCCACACTCCTACCACAACTACTACTAACGAATCTAAAACAACTAAGTTTCTCTAATATTTTCTGATTTGCATTTGATTTCGTCCAGCCAGATCCTGGCGGAAAATACATGACTGGGACGGGACTACCACACTGATGCCTCGTCCTAAAAGCCCCGGCTGCGATAGGCAAGATGCCGACAACGGGGAGGAATGGATGATATACCGTGTATATATGTATATTTATGTTCATTTTGTACATTTCTAAAAATAAAGTTTGATGGAAATACTTAGTAGGCCTATCCTTTCTTCCCTGAATTATTTGC